TTTTGCAGAATACTAGTTGTATTAGAAAACCCCAGGTCATCTCAGAGGGGGGGGGGGGGGCGCACCCCCTGCACCCTCCCCCTAGATCCGCCCCTGGTTTCCCACATTGTCTGTGTAAAATCAATACATCCAAACTTCAATTTGTACATTTTAGGGAAGAAGGCCTTTTGTCCAAGAAATCAAAACATTAAGCAAAAAGGCTAAGAAAAAAATAATAAAATGGAGACGATTAAAAACATTTTTTAGTTTAATGAAACTGATTGTCATAGCCTCTGTAATTGTTTAAAAGCATGCAAACCGATATAGAGAGGCAGTCCCTTGTTTTCGTTTTCACCGTTCTTTTTTTGTCCTCCTGTATATATCGGGGAAAAACGAGACCTTCATGGTAGCACACACTGAAGTGGCTGTGCGACTAGAAACAAACACGTAACTGTTACTTTTCTCTTTTGTTCTCTCACGACCTGTGCACCAACTGACTGCAGTTCACAGCCTTGTCTTCAGTTCATCATTGAGCAGTTAAGGCCACAGCAACTCAGAGAGGAAGTGGGTAAACGACTTATAAAGGCTCTGGCTTGATGGAAATTTGCCAATGACCAAGGACTCATCATCTTATACTGAATTTAAAATCTAACCAGTTTCACAAATACTTTTGCTGATGTCTTTCAAAATCAAATACACACAGATTTAAACACAAAAATTTTGAGAAGATACAATCTCCGTGCACCCGCCAAGATAACCTGTTGCAGGTGCTCAAACATTGTCACCTCCTCGTGATACTTGTCGCTTGTTACAGTTTCACTCCCGATCAACTCAACTGCATTCCAGTTGTTTTTACAAATTACCTTTCCTTCCACAGCCTCTCTTTCTTTCTAAATATTCCCTTAATCTGATGTATCCTTTCCTAAACTGATGTTCAACAAGCGCGCAGTCAGTGACCTCATCATCGAGTTCAGTATCTCCGACTCGATCTGCAAAAAGAAGGACCGGCGTAGCTTCTCAGAAAGAAACCAATATCCAAAAAATATATTCTAAGAAATGTAATTTTGAACACAGAGAAAAGCTAGAAATTGCCCCCTTAAAGCTTTCATTTGAATCCTCGCTTAGGGTTTTCGTCTACAGACTAGTTCAACGGGGAGTCGCAAAACATCTCGAGATTTGTGTTTAAAGGTAACGGGAACTGTTCAGGGCAATTATAATAATTACAAGCTTCATTGCACTTAATTAAAGTACTGATTACTGTTCGTGCATTGAAGCTGTGAGCGAAAATGCTACACTCGCTTGTTTCGTGGCTTGTTTTTATCGCTAATTATAATCGCGGAAGTTATTGTTATGCTGGTAACAATCAAGGCGACTTTGATGATTCAAAGTTCAAAGTAATGGTTATGTTAAACCTTGATTTCTCCTTTGTTCAAAGTGAAAATACGTTGAAAACTCGACAAAAAAATAAACTAAGACTGACTTACAAAATTGGTTGTCATACATGGAGAAATCCGATCGCTTTCCATGGAAAACGCTTCCAAGAACGCCGTATGTACAAACGGTCAAAATAACCGCGCACTTTCCAAACATGGCGGTTAAACTGATTTTGATTCTGTGTACACAACCAAGTATTAAGTCCTTTCTTTACATGAAAAATCCAAGCGTAATCAAGGAAGTTTTGTCAAGGCCAGGAAAAGGTTCGTCGATTGCCTCGCGATATTAGATGATCTCAGCTCCGTTTTGACACTTTCGTCCCGGGTGTTTGGGTTCTCTTCTATAAAAATCTCTGACGCCATTGATGATGTGATTTACCTGAAAGTAGAAAAGTGCTCTTCACAGAGATGATTACTAAACTTGTCATTCTTTGCGCGGCTTCTTAGAGCTGGAGAAGCAATTCACCAACGCCAAAACTGAATTAGGCTGAGTAATTTTTAAATCAGTTCCAGCGAGTTTTAATGGAGACGAAAAAGACCGTGCACTGATTGATTTGATTGCCTTTTCCCCATCTTTTTCTTTATTCATTGACTCATAAATAACAATTTTAACTTACCTGTTTGGAGCGGCCAGCTTTGACTTCAATTGATTTAGAATGATACCGTAAGATAAAACTGTTAAGTCCTCCAAAGTTGGTATTTCATTGCCAGCTACAAGTATCCTCGGAGACCCAGGGCCCAGTTGCATAAAACCTACACTTAAGTGCCCACTTAAGTAGGTCACTTACGAATCGGTTATGGGTACACTTACGTGTGTTGCACGGAATGCACTTAGCACTCTCGTAAATTACTATTTTACGTGGTAACTTATGGGCTCACTTAAAGGCCCACGTAACTTTGATACAGTACTTTATTGATGACTCACTCTTATTTTTTAAGTTAACCATCGGTGAGTGTAAAGAAAGTTTTAAGTTGTTTCGAACACTTTTAAGCCTCTCAAAAAAATGAAATTTGCATGCAAACGTTATTTTTCTTCAATATGTACTGAAAATGATAGTTCCTCTTCTTTTTTGACAACGTCGGCTTTAAAGTGTACATCAGAGGTTAACAAAGCGCATTAGAGCGGATTACGTGAACAAAAATACTTTTTTTTCACTTCTCAGTGAAAGATCTCGTTCACTTTAGTAAACCAGTAACGATACGGGACCTACATAGGTCCCGTAAATTTACGTGCTATTTTTCCCGTAAAAAAAGTTTTATGTAACAACCGCAATTCCTGTTGCATAAACGACACTTAAGTGAACACTTACGAAAATCGTAATTGCAGCCACTTAAGTGAATTCCCTAAGTGGACCACTTAAGTGATTTAACGCAACTCACTTAAGTTACGACTGTAAGTACGTATACCCGTAGTTGTTACGGGCGTTTTATGCAACCGGGCCCAGGGGAGGTCAGTTGGGTAGGGATTTACGGCGGCGAAAGTTTTAAAGGAGGGGCGAGAGAGCCCCTTGGATGCTACCCTTAAAAAAACCAGTTCCACGACTCATTCGAATGCTTGTCTCTGATTGGGCACAAAAATAATCTGAGGCCAGCATCTATCGCGCTGCTTTCGTGATTTTCTCATACGAAAACTCGACTGTTCGCCGTACATAACACGTTTCTGGCTTGAGCAGGAGAGCTTTCGAAACTGGACACAGACAAAACAATTTTCTCTTAATATACCTCCACGTAGCGATAAATGGATTAAAGTCATTTAAAAAGCTTTTGCGGGCGAAATCGTTTATATGGCTGTTAACGCCTGCTTGGCATACTTGTCAGGCACCTGCACGAGAAAATTCTTTGAAGTTTGCAACTTTGTTGTTAAATATTTCATCTCATTGAAAATAGAGGATCGAACGAAACTGGTAGGGTAAACTGACAGAGTTGCATGAACAAACCTAGAAGTACTCTGCTGTTTACGAACTCTCCTTTGAACAGTACACAGTCTGATTTCATCGGTTGGTGCATTTTTCGTTTGGTAAGATTTCCATTTTAAACTCCATACACTTATTATGCATGCAACAATTTCATACTTTTTCTCACAGATTGTTAATATGAATGGGGTCGAAACATGTATGTGTTGTCGTTAATTCTTTATCTCAGTTAATTTTTATTTTTCTTTTGTTTTAACTTCATTAGCATACATTACCATACCCAATATCAAGAGAAAAACAAAAATTACTTCAGATAAAAAATTAACTACAACATATGCATGATAAATGTTTGGGTCATAAGGACATCTTACGTTTCAATCGTTTTGTTTTGTTTTGCTAACATGCTATAGCTAATTTGTGGGATATCTTCGGTTTTTGTGGGGCCCTAAGAACTCTTCTCGAAGAAAGCTCTCAGATGACAGATGACAGATGCTGGTCTCAATTAATTGTCAAGAGTAGCATCCTAGGGTTCTCTCGCCAGTTTTTGAAAACTTTCGCCACCGTTTATCCCGACCCGACTGACCGCGCCCCTGGGTCTCCGAGGATGGGCTACAGGCGTAAGAAATTTGCAAGAACTTTAATTCAGCTTCTAACACTAAAGAAACTGACCCAGCTCCAGCGCTCAAAACCGCGGAATCAGTTAATGACCCCTAATAATTTAACTTTGAAGATAGTGTCTCAGATGTGTAGCAAACATTCTATTAAGAGTGGAAGCTTTGATATTTTTTTATTCCTTGTAGACTGATATTGTATCGGTGTTAAAGCCTGTGCTTCAAGTTCCATTATGTTTTTCATGACGTTTTTGGGATTTTGGTGTTTTTTCTGATCTTTGCTTTACCACTGGAAAAAGATACTTCAATACTACTGTAATATATATATATTGCTTGTCAGTTGAATTGCACATGAAGTCACGGCATCTTTGCAATTGCAAATCAGAGCAAAAATGTTTCTACCTGCCGGGGACAGACTATATTAGCGATCAATTCTTTCAACGACCACTTGGACAAACTGCAGCAAGGGAAAGTCCGATCTTGTTGTAGATCCGGATCAGCAATACAAAAATTCACTTAAAATTGAAGGCATTATAAAATTAGGCTGATTGGACAGCTAAGGGTGACAAATATATTTGCCCAATACTTCGACTAGACAAAACTAGTTTCCATGGGGCTAGAAAAGCTAAGAGTATATTACAGACTATATTATCATACAAATTCCGCGAAATTTTGTGTTGTATGGGTAACTAACATGGCCGCCATGACATGAAGAATTTTTCGGTCATTTTCTTGTCTTCTGGTTTTTTGTCCAGCGGACGCCTGAACCCACGGGGTCTGGACGCTGGTTAGGGGATGGTGACGAGACTGGGTACTAGTCCCACCCCTCCCCGCTGACAATATTCTCCTCTAGGGATCGTTTGCGGAAAGGAGGCGTTCTATCGCATCTTCATACTTGTCATCACATTTCTTCAATTCTATTCCCTGCTGGTCGCTAAACGAAGTGCAGTTAAATTGTTGTAATTGGCAGTTAATTATGTAAGCGGGAAGTTCGTTTTCAAAATCGAATAAGCGCGTGGACGCTCGCGATTTTCGTGTAAACTTTGGTTCACTTCTTGGTCAAGATGGCGTCGACAACTAGAGAACAAGCGACAAATCTCCCAACTGCTATCTCGGACGGGGCTCATCCTGCTAAATCAGTGTTAAAAGAAGCTGTTGATGCTGTTCTGAATTCGTTTGCTAAGCATACACATGGATATGGTCGAGGTAAGCTTATCGCATCAATGATCACAAACTACACTGTATTTAATAGTAATCACATTTCCTTCCGAAACTAGCCTAATGGTTCGTATGCGCGTTATGTTATGATAATCGTATGATAACCTTTTTGTTCACTGAATTCATGAATTAATTTAACCCATTTTTACATTTCGTGCAAATGGAAGCTTAGAAAAACTTCCTGTGGCGCTGAGCCTTTAAGCTCAGGTTACTCCGAGCTAAATCTAAATATATCATGGGCAGTGTTTACAGTCGTCATTCTAGTTTGGAGCAGAAATTTTATGGTTACTCGCAAGAGTGGTTTTTCATTTTACTTTTGTTTTATTATTGTGACCTTACAATTTTGTTTATTATAAACAAGACATTTTGATTTTAGAGGAAAGTAATCTGCCTTCTAATTGCACGTATACTTCGGTTCCTTGACGAACATCATTTTTGTGCGGAAATTTATTGAATATCTTGGTTAAAATTCGTGAGAAGCAACATCGCGCTAGTATATTGATCGCGAGTTAATAGAAAGCGCCAATCTTTCGTCGGTTCTTTAAACATCAAAGGTGCCGCGGCCTCTATCAACGATTGAGTCTGGGAGGAACGGAGATTTCTTTATCTTGTCAATGGAATTTAGACCTTCGTAAGTGATGTACGCCTGCATTCATAAATATTGACTCACGGGTTTTTCATTATGGAGTCGAAGGGAAACAGCAATGATGTTTGTATTTACTGTCCATGGCTTTTAGTGATTAGTTAAGCTTAGCGCATACATACACTCTGGTAACTTTAACGACAATTCGTGTATGTTTGTATGAACTCTCAGTAAAGATTTGGTGACTTTTATAGTTTTCTATTTTTCTCTTTTTTTTGTTTTCGTAACCATGATGCTAGAACGTTTCATTTCTATGATCTTTTTTCAGTTTATATTAAAAGAACTCATCACCTTGTCAGGGTATAATGAACATATCAATTATATTTCAAGTGTTCATTTAATTGCTGACGAAGTGAGATGGGTTTTAGGAAGATTTTAGGTTTTCTTTGTGGAATAACCATAATGTTGTGGCTTATATTTGTATGGGTCACCACAGGGCACTGTATATTTTAGGTTTTTTTTATGTAATGATTGATAGACAGTAATCAGCTGTCACATTGCTCATTTTGCTCTGAAAGACAATATTGGAAAATATTGGTGCCTTTGGTTTACATGTTTAGGAAGCAAATAAAGGAAATTTGCAGTGACATCAGTTATTGCTCCATTTTACAATGATTTCTTTCCATTCTGACTAAATCCATTTACAAAAGTAGACATCCATTTTGTCCTTGTTTGGTTACAGTTAATTTTTTCATGTCAGCTGGACATTCCAGTTAAACTGCAGACTTTCCTTTTAACCCTTTCTAAGGGGTTCAAAGATTACAAGGAAAGCCACCTTGTGAAGGATCTCTCAAGGATTCTAATCATAATATGTTTCTGAGAAACGGATGTTTTTTTCCTTCTGTGGAAGTGAAGACATGCACTACCAAATGCAAAAGCTAGCATAATAATTATTATTGTTCTTTCCTTTCTTGTCTTTTGGACCCCCATCCAAAGGTCATTGGTAGATATATTTTAAAATTTTTGTCAGTGCAATGAGAAAAAGTGCCCTCGTTTCCCCAAACATTAGCACACACCTCTTTGAACAAACTCACGAATGAATGCCTCTTTCCTCACCTGTTTTAATCCTCACTTGTTGAAATAGTACATGGGGGAGGGGAGCAGATTGTAGGCTGTTTAGAATTTACAGGAATTTCCTTTGTAAACATTCAGAAATGAATTCAAATGTTGCATTATCCCTGGGTTATCTTAACAACCTTCTCCCCCCCCACCTCCCCCATGTAATTATTACTATTAGATGAAAGAGACAGGAACACTGATTGAGATATAGCCTCAGGTTAGCAATAATATTATCAGCCTTTGAACAAATGGGCTCTGATGCATGGAAACAGATGGAATCTGTGCAATTTATTAGTAGTTTACTCTGTCTCCATTTTCTTATAGCTGCGAGTTTGGTAATGACTATATCTTCTCTATTAATTTTTGTCTTATTCTTTCACTGCTTTAAAAGAAAAGCAAATTTCTGTCCTCCTTTGAAAAAGTGCCCTTTCCCTCCCCCTCCATTGGTTCAAATTTAAATCAATGCTCAGGAAATGTGTTGGATTATGGCATGGTATAATAATATTGGTTAGCACATTTCTTTAGAAACATTTCTTTAGTTTGCTGTACATGTAAGGTTTATTTCCACTGTCGGATAACTTTTTACCCCAGGGGCAGGGGTACTCCTGGGAATTCTTAGTGGGGGTGTGCCGCCGGGTTCTTCAAATCCTGACCTGATTTCAGACCAAAAAAAGTAATTATCCACACCCGTTTTCAGACCTGGCCTTTAGGCAGAAATTATGTTATCATTATAGGGTGCAAACACAAAAATTATTCAAATCTATTTGGAATTCACATATTTCTCTTTCTTTCTTACTCATTTGGAATTGAAGGGATAAAAATGTTCATACACTCCCGTAGTTCCCTCGAAAACCCAACCCGATTCCAGACCAAAATGGGCAAAGTGAAGACAAGTTTTCAGACCAAAACTGTGCAAAAACCCTACCCGACGGGGCTGCACATACCTATATATGTTATGTAAGGGAGTACCCCCCCTCCCCCGGGCTTTTTTCGTTCATATATGTACATGTATATTTTTATAGAGGAAGAATATATTTTGCAGTTGATGTCATCGAGGCATTACAAGAGTTTTGGCAAATGAAGGAATCTCGTGGCACTCCAATGAAAGGTGGATCTGACGTCCTTTACGAACCAGAGGCTTCTGAAAAGCCACCATACGTTTGCTTTGTCAGTCTTCCCGGAGGAAGTTGTTTTGGAAGTTTTCAACCATGCCCAACCAAGGCTGAAGCTAAGAGAAGTGCTGCCAAAATTGCACTTATGAATTCAGTTTTTAATGAACATCCCTCTAGGTCAGTAAACTATCTTTTAGCAAGTAGTCCACTCAGAATATCACAAGTATACAGCTCTAAGCACTTTCTTTTTGTGGTTCTCTTAGATGGATGATGGACCATGTACCTGAAGTGATTAGTATTTAGAGTGGATTTTAATTCTAGAATTGTTTTTTTGTTGTTTGAACTGCATGCATGAAGTTAGGGGTTAACTATTAACTGAAAGGTAATCATGGAAATGTTAATAACACAGGAAGTTATAAAATAACTAAAATAGTATGCGCATTCTGATTGGCCGATAGGTGTGTTTGCATGAGAGTATGTAGACATGGTCTTGACATCAAGATGTTTTGCTTTCGGCGCACAATAATCACGGCAAGCAGGAGTTTAAAAAAAGTTTTTGAGATGAAAACTCCACAAGTTTTCTTTATTCACTCATTCCCTCGTCAGCCAGAACTTGGAAAACTATCTTTACAAACATGCTGTGTCAATTTTTTTTCGCTTACGTCAACATTTTGAGCTCTTCGGTAGCTGTTTTGGAGAGATTCCTCTCTATTTGAGATGTTAAATAGAAAAATGATCAGGAAGAGCAGTTGTAGTTAAGAATTTAGCATAACAAGGGTTTATCTTTTATCAATAGAAAAATTACAGATGAATTTGTAGAGTCGGCTGTGAAAGAAGCAGAGTCAACTGAAGCACAAGTTGCTTTAAAAAGAAGGACACTTAACCTGTTGACAGACAGTTCTAAAGATCCCAGTACAGGCATTGGAGCATTTAGATTTATGTTGGAGTCAAATAAGGGAAAAAGCATGTTAGAATTCCAAGATCTCATGACCATATTCCAGCTACTACACTGGAATGGCAGTTTAAAAGCAATGAGGGATAGAAATTGTTCTCGTCAGGAGGTGTTGGAACATTATTCTGATAGAACTATTGATGATGAAATGAGAAGTCAGATGGCATTAGATTGGATATCACGTGAACAAGAGCAACAGGGTTTAATAAAGAGGGAACTGGATAAGGCTTCTAAAGAGTTGGAACAGTGTCGACTCAGTGGACGAGAGCTCAGGTTTCCTAAAGAGAAGCGAGACATTTTAATGTTGGCTTGGAGCCAAATTGGAAAGGTTTAAAAACTGTTGGACTCTTACAAGGGATTAATATTTTGTGTCTAGACTAATAATCTTTTATTTTTAGCATACGGGTAACTGGTACCTCACTGTATATCATATTGGTCATCATCCATAGAGCTGTCTTTCAAACAAAACAAGGGTCATGTGCTTAACACATGCAATTCAGTGTGATCCACAAACAGAAAATACCCAGTTGTAAAATGGACGGTTTTAACTGACAAAATTATACCACGGTTTATACTTTAAAGTGAAGTTCAACATGTACAACTCTTCCTGTTCTGCCAGCTGTTAAGTAGATAATATACCTGCTCTTAATTTTGCTTCGAGCACACTGGGCCTGGAGGTCATTTTGTGTTAAGCTTATAATACTAACTTAAACTATTATCTCAACTTGACAATGATGCTTGCTGACAACATGCCATTGTTTTGCCTACCAGTGACTAAGAATGATTTTATCTTTTCGTTGTGCTTTGTTTTGAAAACTGGTTATCTCTGATCTGTTTTAACTGACTGGCCTAAAGAGTGTTTAAAAATACTGCAGCAGTGCGGAGGTTTGTCCCTATTGTCATTGTAAATAGCTGTCAGTTTGCTGTGTGTTTCTTTGTGTGAACCTTGCATTTAACCTGGGGGTGTGCCGCCTGGTTCTCCAAATCCTGACCCTGTTTCAGACTTTAAAATGTCATTTTCCTCACCCGTTTTCAGACCTGGTCTGTAAAGACCAAGACCAAGACGGCACAAAGACTATACCCCTTGGGGCGGCACATACCTATAATGGCTTATATATGGGAGTACCCCGGAAATTTTAATTCAGACCTACCTCGTTCCCAGGGTGTTCTCTCTCAGGGACGGGTAGGAGAGAGAATCCTGGGAACGAGGTTGGACCTTGCATTCATCTTGTAAAAAAAACCATGCAGTTAATAAAGAAACGATTTTATATTTTGGTCAAATCCTGTTATATTTTAGTTTTCAGTTATTTCTTTTTATTACCACTAAACAGATTTAGATGCCCAAATAGAGGCCATTTCGAAGTTCCAAAAACTCTCAAAACGAGCCCAAGTGCAAAACCTTTCTTGTTAAAATGAGTTTTATTTTCACGAGAGTAAAACCTCATTTTCATATCGCTTAACCTCGCTTTAAGAAATAAAATTTTCCGAAATATTATATGACCTACTAAGTTGTATCATACCGTACCCAAACCAGTTGTACCATTTACTTTTTGCCTCTCTTTGAGAGGAAGCTTGGCACTGGTAATCCACACGAATGGGACAGAAAATTTTGGTCGTTTCGCTTGGCACTGGTAATCCACACGAATGGGACAAAAAAATTTTGGTCGTTTCGGTAAAGGCGGGGAAAAAGTAACCTCTGAAGGTACTGATTATTTTTTTTTAGAAAAAGTTTCTACGGCGATGAATCAGTAAGCGCTCATTGACTACGACAGCACTGTCACATAGCATTCACCTACGCTCATACTCCTGTGCGTACAGCTGACATCTTTGAAAAAATATTCTTTTTATCTCCTGAAACATTTCTATCGTTAAATAAGGATCACTGATAACTTTTTCGCATTATATTGGTGTCTTTGTATTTCCTCTCTTTTTATTAGCCCCGCTTGCGTAAGCAGTGGGACTCATAATCTGCAACCCGTTTTTAACACAAAAGGGGGTCATTGTACCAGGCCTTTACCAGGCGTTCCTAACAGAGACCGTGGAAACTGGGAATAAGAAACGTTGCGTGACCGAAGCCACGCATGTTTTGCGAAGAAAGCTTTAGCCTGCGATTTCGGCTCTAGTTTCGCCCGCCCGGGGGAGAGAAGCGACGACCGGAAATACGTCTGTGGTTCGCAGGCTAAGAAAGCTTAGGAAAGATTAAATTTAGAGCTATTCCGAAACGTGTCAGTTCACGAATTCTATCGCTTGAAAGCGTTGATTACTTTGGAACAAGTGAACACTACTGAGTGGTCGAAAAAACTAAGAATCTTAATTAGCAAAACGGCGATGGTCGGTTGTTGTACTTGATTGTATGCAAATGGCTCTTGTGATCAGCTTACGGTTTATTTTTGGCGATGGTTGAAATGACGTGCCATGTAAATCAATTTTTTCGATCTCTGGCAATGATGTAATTTCTCTGGAATCGAGGCCCTTGAGTTTTCGTGCATTTATACACGGGCATAGCCTGCGACTCCAGACGTATTTCAGGTCGTCGCTAGCACGCGTACTTAATCAATTCAAAAACAAATAAAAGGAAAAAATATTCTGAAGAATACTCGACGTCGCTAAAGTAGGAAGTAAACAATAAACCTTTAGCGAGTAAATCCCGTTTCGTGTAGAATTCATCGCCTCCTCATTTCTCGATCGAATCTCCAAGCAAGCGAGACTGAACGCCTTTCTAAGAGCGATCTTGTTATTTCATAAACGGACGGCAAGACGTAATAGCGGGATGAAAAACGAAAAAAGGTACTCTTCCTTCCCCCCCCCCCCCCCCCCAACCACATTTTTCTTTTTTCTTTTTTTTTTAAATTTTTTTTTTAAAAAAACCACAACCCAAATTAAAAAAATTTTTTTGGGGTTGTATTCACATCCCCCCCTATTTATAAGTGCTCTTCTGTGCTACTGCCCA